GATAACTCGTAACTTGCCCTGCGGCCTGACAATGTATCTGATTGATGTTATAACGAGAAAATAGATGTTGAAATCACTCTTGGAAATTTGAAAAGGGTTAAGGTTGATAATGTCGAGATAAAGAAGACTGTTTGGAAAGAGTACTGTATCCCTTTTTACATTATATGAGATAACTTGATGGAAAGAACGTAACCATCGCTCTAGAAATAGTGTTTAAACATCACACAAGTAACCTCTCACCTCGTCATTTCCACAAGGACAGTTTACTTTGATTTCTTCCTCTGCGTCCTGTTCAGTCTTGTCTAATGAATTTAAAAATAGTAATAAAATAAATAAGATATGCTCATGAGGAAAAAAGATGGGAAGATTTTTTTCTTTTCCCTCGCTGCTTTGTGTAATACTCTCATTCAATTTCTTATCGGTCTCCATGCCTATGATCTGACGTCACAATCTGAAATTTTACGACCATTTAGTTACCAGAAATGACTTTGTCGCAATTCATATCTTCCAGTCCTAAAAAAGAATAAAACTTATTTAAAAAAATGGCAATGTTGAACATGCTAACATTTATTCAACGACCAAAATGTCTGCCATGTCACAGTAAATCAAAACTTATTACCTTCTTCGTTTTCTTTCTTCTTTTCTTCCGGCATTTGCCCCTTTTCCAGTTCATCGTCACAAGGCAATGGAGGGGAAAGCTGAAATCCGGGAAATTCACACCCTTCACATCATACTTTACACTGTCCCATTTACGGCATCTGGGGAGCCATGCACCGCTCAAATCAAGGGGACCATGCTTCGTTATGTAGTAATCAATTTTACTTAGCTGAACATTTTCTTCATTTGTGTTTGTGAGAAAAAAATTTATTAGGTTTTACTCACTCAGGGAAAGGAAGCAGTATTGGGTGCTGTGTTACACTTTGTAAAATACGTACCAATTGGACATCCGCTTCTTCTCCTTGCTCAGGAGCTAAATGCGGGCTTTGGTTTTCGTTTGAAGGACTTACTACTGGTTCCAATTCAATGTTGTTAGTTCCTTCGTTTATGGCGTCCTCTTTCATTTCAAACTGCTGACAATCAGTTTTTATTCGCAGCTTTACCCTGTTAACGTTCAAGATAATAAATTATTTGGTTAGCGTATCGGCACACAGACTAAGGAAAAACTTATCCGCTGTGTGACCAACAGCATAGGTAATAAACCAGGTTGTATCTTATATATCCTGAAAATTCCTTGAGTGCCATACTTACGTGTGAAACGGCTGAAGGTGTTTTAAGACATCAGATAAACAACGAATACATAATGAGAAAATAGAAGATCATGTGTGAGTATGGTCACCCTTAATACACACAACATAGGAAATTAATCTACAATTCACTAAACATCTAAAGGTGTCAATTTTTTGCATAGTTTGCTACACAGTTTGATATTTCGTTGTAAGCCAACTACTCACCAGATTGTCATGTCGTTTGCGCCACCTGTTGCAGCTTATTTGCTTAAAAAAGGCTTACAAAATGGGGGCCCCTGACTACACCCCAGGTGCTGAGGCAATCAGAAGTAAAACTGTAACTCAACTCCTACTATCATGTAGTAGTAACAGAACAAACGACCTTTCAGCTTATACCCTTTATCGTTAATTATCCAGTAATTTATTAACCTTTGTACCTTTGAAACGTTATTATGGTGTATTCTGCTTCCTCTCTGAACAATGACTCTTGACATCAGTGATGTTCATCTTAGTAAGAAGAGACATTACATCCCAGGGGAGGGGGGGGGGC